CAATAGAGGGAAGAAGCTTACTCCCCTGTTGAGTTTGAAGTCAAATTTCTTTTTTGGAATGCTTGCTAGCTAAAGAAGCAACAGCATATCCTCGTCAAGTTGGAGGAGTAGAGGGAAGTAGCCAACAATGCACTCCCCTACTAATTTCAATATGTTTGTTGGTAGGAGTGTTAGCTAGCAAAATGCAGCAACATATCCCAATCAAGTTTCAATCCATCTGAAGCAGAAACGCTAAAGATGTGAAAGTTCAGCCAGCTGGCCATGATGCAGCGGCGTTTTCGATTGAAGGAATGCTAGCTAGCCAAGAAAAAGCAGCAGCATATCCTAATTTGTTTGGAGAAACTCAAGCTACAAGGCTGAGTTGGGGGTTGAGGAGTTGAAGAAGAATACCGGAAATCTAGCTAGCTACAAATGCAGCGACTTACCTGAGTTAAATTGAAGAAAATCAAGCTACAAAGCTAAGTTAGGGGTTGAGGAGTTGAAGAAGAAGAAGAGAAGGTGAATAAGAGAAGAAGAAGATGAAGATGGGATACCAACTAGACAAAGATGCAGTGGTATCACCAGTTGAAGAAGAAGATTTCAGCTAGCTAGCCACAGATGCAGCAGCTTTTCAGAAGATGTTTGGGAAGTTAGCTAGCAAGATGCAGCAGCTTCACCATTTGAAGATTGAAGGGAAGTTAGCTAGCCAGCAGTGCAACAACATTCTCAAGTCAAGACTGGATTCTCTCCAAGCTTGGTGTACTGGTGTACACATTCTATGCTCACCCACTTGCGCGCGGGGGGGGGGGGGGGGGGGGGGGGGGGGGTGGAGGGGGTGGGGGGATATCCGGAGATATTTCAAGTTATCGTCAAGACTCAAATCGACGACCATGAATTTCAAAGTGGATCGACAAGGTTTAGAGGAAGCTACCATCATCAAGTTTAGTTTATTGTCAATGTTTAGACTTTAGTATGAGTTGTTATGTTTGTTTAGTTTATTGTTCTCCAAAAGCAAGCTGGTACGATTTGTCTTGTAGTACCAAGCTTGAGTATTTAAACCCAACTATGAATGAGAAACACCCAAGGGTTCTAAGGTTTCATTTCTCCCAACTCATCTTTGTTGTTAATTAAGCCCTAGATATCGTACCGCCTACGAAGAGCTTTGTCGCACGAAGGTGATTTCAGAGACCCACTCCGTACGCGTAATGGTGACGGTTGTATGCATCGTAGAGAACGACTTTAACATTGTGTTACAGAAGGAGGAGGGAAGGGGAGGGAAAGGGTGGGAGGAAAGTTGGTTTTTCGAGAAACTTTCCTTTGTTCTAGAGATTATGAGGGAAGGCAAATGGAGTACAATTTTCTCTTGGTCCCACCAAAAGGTTCTGTACAACTCTCCCCTCCAAAATGGAGTGAAAACACTGAAAAGAGAAGGAAAGACAAAATTTTTTAATTCTTCCTTCTTTCTTTGAGTTGTAAAAATCGGTTTCCCTTTTTCCTATTTTTTAATAATTATATCTTCCACTTCACATTTTTTTCGTTGAATCCACTTCACATTTCTATTCTTGTAGTTCTTAATTTTTTTGGAGAAATTCAATTATTATTTCTAAATGGTTTGTGTCACATAATATCATCATGTTTCATGTAGAATGTAAAAGTTTATTACATTTCAATGATTTAATGTAAGAGATGCACCATATAGGATAGTTAGTTATCAATACCGTTTTTCTCCAAAAAAAAAAGGTTATCAATACCTATAAATGAATCTATAATGATGATTAGTGGTCAAATGATGATTCACTCTTTAATGATAAAAAGTATTTTTTTGTCGTAAAGAAACTTTGATAATTTCTATCGAATGGACGCCATATTGTACCGCAGAGTTAATCCAACTTTTGTGGGGAAATTTTTAAATAAAGTTAAAATGAACAAGATTTTCAATCAAGGAAAAAATTTAATAGTGAATCAAAGTAGCACGAAAAAATTAATTTGATCGACTATTCGTAAATAATAAAAATGACATCAACACATTATTTTACTATTACATAATTAATTAAATAAGTTATCTATCACAAAGTAGAATATTAACATACAATCAAATTATTTTACTATTACATAACCAATAAAATAACATATTTCTCACACTTCCCAATACACACTTTCTTTCACACTTTCCTTCATAAAACAACATTTTCCTCCCAATTCTCTTCACTTCCAAATCTACCCTCCCCTCCTAATTTTCTTTCACCTCCCCTCTTTTCCTCCCTTCCTTCGGAAACATAGTGTAAGTTTCAAACGAAAAGAAGAGGTAGTTGAGGCGGTGATAATGCGCAGTCGGGTTTGGTGATGTGGCAGGTTAAGAAAGGGCGAGTCAGCACTTCTGTTAATCACTTAAACAGTTAACTGACAGTGTTAATGGAGACTAACAAAGAGTGACTAATTGTTGACCGTTTTACTAATTCGAGTGACCAACATTGATATTAATTTTTTCCAGTAACTAAACATGACACGTACGCTTTTAGTAAACCCAATGACCAAACATGATATTTACCTCCTTCACAATTAATGTAATCTTCATTTCATTCATTAGATAGATAAATCATAGAAGCCTCCAACTCATCTGCCTACCATTAAATGTTCCTTGCATTTCCGCTATTAAGTATTAACTTTCTTTCTGAGGAAGTGATAGAAATCAGCATAGTGCATCAAGTGTCAGATGAGGTAAAGATCGGGCACTGAATTCCACTCACAACTTGGTTTTGGCAATCGGGTGGAGGTCAGGACTGACCGACAAATGCTCTTGGCTTCCTTTTGGTTCATTCACCATCTCCATTGTCGATCAATGCGCCTTCACCTACCATCTACACCAAACCTATTGGCTAGATATTGGAATTATGGGTAGGAAGTACGACTAATTACTTCTCTACATTTACTGCGAAAGTAACTCTGTAGTAGGTATTGATGTAACCATAGAACCGACGACCAGACAATCTGGAAGAAAATTTTCTCATAGTTGCCATTGATACACATTGGATTAATAGCTTAAAAAAGATGCACACGATCTTGTTGATAATTATTTTCAATGCATAAATAACCTCTTCTAGGTAATTATCCACTGATCATTAAGGTGTTAGAATTAAGCATAATATATGTAATTTCCCGAATCTCATCTTGTCGGATTATCAAAGGTTTGTGTAATTACCTGGATTTGTGTCAGTTGATCGCCAAGGTCTTGATGCGGAATCTGAAGGACGATCTGGAACTGGACGATACTCCTAGCAACGCTGGGATATGTTCAAGCGAATTCACGACATTGTTTTATATCAAACACTATCATTTTCTAATCCGCGGTGTCGTTTTTAGCTAAACAACACCGCTTGGTCTACCCGCGACATTGCTTGTCACTAAACAGTGTTGTTTTTTTATCCTTCTCCGACAAAGAACAAAAAACACTCCTTTTCCAACCCCAACACCAACATTCAAAGCCGCTTTGAAGTACCGTGGCATTGCTTGTCTTTCAACGACACCGTTTTTTTATCATGCGACATCGAATTACATATCGAGACTCATAATGCGGCATTTAATTTAATCCAAATTAATTTTAGGTGTAAGCAAGAATATTTTGTGATAAAATTGTGGTTCGACAGTTTCATATCGTGAAAAACCGTCTACTGATTCAGACTTCGATAGGAGAGTTTTCCGGGTACAATTTCATAAACACTAATTTTAACATGGTACCGGATCCTCTTTTCACATATCAAGACTGGATTACTAAGTATGCATTTCTTTGTATGCTTAGCGACTCTCAATTTGTGTCTTCTTCGACAGGTTGTGGCTCAATTTGTGGGAAAATGTCAGAATTTTACGTACTTAATAGAAATTAGCCATTGATCATTAAGGTTCACTACATGTCTACATCTAATACTCTTTGCAGTATTTGCAGTAAGGTTAGAGTAGGTGGGCCATGAATATAGGCCATCAAAGGCGGAGCCAGGAGTTCGAGATCAAGGGAGTCGAAAATAATATAAAAAAATCTATGCAACCAATATGGATCAAACCCGTGTGCTTTAAAACACAAGTCAAATTTGTCTATCATTAGATCACATAACTTTTACATGATAAAATTTACCGAACAAGTTATACTTATAAAATTTGTAAGAAATATCCTTAAACACCTAGGGGTCGGGACCAATCCCGGGGCGGCGCCCACACTAGCTACAATGTAGCTCCGCCCCTGTAGGCCATGAATATATGCTGGCCTGTTGTATCTATGTAGTGTGAGATTTCGGCTCAATAAAGGGAGATAGTAAACCATGTAAAACTCTTGCCTTATGAGTTTTCCTATCTCCCGTTCTTGTGGTTTTATCAGGTACCAAAGAAAGAAGAAAAACATTTCTCTTTGTCCCAAGGTTGTCAACCCGTTTGTTCGATCAAGTAAGTGGGTTGAATTCTGAATGTCAATGGACTAATTGTATTGTTCATACATTTATAAATTATATAAAATCTCATATAATATGAGTTATAGCATATAACATTACCGCCAAATAACATGTCTTATATAATATAAATATTCAAATGTTCAATTTAGAATTCCAAAGATTGGATTAGGTTAAAAAGAAAACCGAAAAATAGGTGCATTTTACAAACCAAAGAAAAAAACGACATCATTTAATGTTAACGCAATACCTTACAGCAGGTTAAGTCGATTGATGTGTACGATCCGCTATTCTTAAAGAGTCGAGGTCAAAATAGGTCAACCGGCGACAGATTGACCCGCGGGTTAACGAGTAACAACGTTCCCCTTTCTTGACTCAACAAATATTAGTGGAGATTGAAGAGGGCAGACTGCTTTTTTTTCTTTCTCTTATCCCCCTTCTATTTTCACGTAACATCATCATCATCAACAGGATCCAACCGAATCGGCAATTATATTGACCAACAAAGTCAACCCGATTTCTCTTTCAGGGACATTCTTCCCTTTTCACCATCATCTTCGTTCTTTCTAATCAGTACTCGCTAGTATATCAGCAGGCTAGACCTCGCCTGCAGACCAGCGCACCAGCACCGGCAGTCATGGAAGCGACCATACTCGACGACTTGGCCGCCATGCTCGTCGCTTTGACGTAGCTCGAAGCTGCTCTACTGCCCGAAATTCTGAAGAAGGCGCCGTTCAGAAACATATCTCCTTGCGACCTCCAGTTCCATTTCTTCCACTCACTTTCCGGTGCACCGGCACGCCTCGTTACCTGCGCGACGAATACGCTGATATCAATAAATCGAGTTGTAACAAAACCATACTATATCGGGACTACTTTTTGATAGTGATGGCAATGGGACGGAGCGGGCGGGTACCTCAATATCCATACCTGCCTTACGCTACTACGGGTTGGGACGGGTAAAACCCGCGCGGGTACGAGGCGGGGGGAGTCGACCTACTCTTACATGTTATTTGAAAAAAAAAACACCCAAATTTTACTTTTTACGATAAAACGAAAGAGAAAATACTTTATGAAGGAAAATAATAATAATAGGATGGATAATTGAGTCTAACCAGTTGAAATATTGACTCTAACTAGTTGAAGAAAAGTCAAAATAAGATAAATATGTATAGATATAGTAAGAAATTGAGATAGAATGTGCCAAGAATGGGGCGGGACGAATCGGAAGTAGATACTCATGCCCCGCCCCACATTACAGCGAGTCCGCTAATACCCGTCCCATCGCGAATTAAATCGAATAATACCTACGAGACGAGTTCAAATTGCAATCACTACTCTTTTACCTCTTTAGTGAATATGTTGTTGGAGGCCAGAAATCGGTTCCCTTGACTGTTGATCGTGGGAGCAGCGCTGCCTCCAATTGCGTACTTTAGCCAATGTGTATAGTCATTGTTCACCACGTGGAAGTACCCATGTCTACACCTATATATGCCAACCATTCACCAACAAATAACCAAATATTCAATTTTACAATCTTCATAAGCATTGATGTTTCATGCACAAATTGAATTTGTACTAATATTGAATGGACAAGTTTAGTTTGTATCATAAAGAAATTTGTATGAACATGTATATAGGTGCACATTGAATTGCATCACAACGTTAAAGGGTGTTCAACATTAAAACATAATCCTCAAGGGTTGTCAAATAATCTAGAATTCAAATACTATCATCGCCTAAATAAAGTTTTTGTACAAATTTTTTTTTACCAATGTTGTCATATACGAGCGGAAGCGTGGCCCGGTAACGTGAATGACTCACACTTTAATGGTCCAATCAGTATTTGACCGTTAGAAAACCAGTACCTTATAAATAATAATATCATAACTAGAAGACAAATAAGGTAGAAATTTAATAATTTAATGACTAAATTAAAATTTAATTTTCAGAATCATCAAACACTTAGTAATTTTACCATTTATATATATAAAGTTATAAAAACAAACCCTAACCCCACTCCCCACCCATCCCAGCGGCAACGCCGCTCTCCCTCTCTCTCTCTCTCTCTCTCTTTTTAATTTCTTTCATCTCTCACTCGTCTCTTAATTCCCAAATGCCCAAATGCCCAAATCCATGAAGAGCTAGCCAAAGCGACAAGTGGGGAGCGGCTACGGAACAGGCGAGTGAGGCGACGGCAACGAAAGCGGGGACGGGGAGTGGCGACGACGACGGGAAGTGGGGACGGGGAATGGCGACACCGACATGGATTGGCTAAGGGATTCGACGTTCTCCTCTCTCTCAGTTCAGATACCCGGACGTTTTTTTAATTAAACCAAACGGCCAAAAAGGCAATAGCCGATCGATCGGCTTGAGCGGTTAACCGCCTCGGCCGCTTGCCGATCACTACAGAAAGTCGTTTTGGCTAAATGACTATGCTGAGACGATTTTGAGGTTGGATGGCGATTCTGGCAGTCCGACCGGCCGACTCGGCTCGACTTTAATAACATTGCTTTGTACCCAAAGTTTTTATATGAAGTTTGTTGGTTGACAACCGATTCATCTACTTGGGTCTACCCCTGTATACAAATTAAGTTTGTACCATAACGTTAAAACTACAAGTTCAGTTTGAAGGTACCTCGGCATCCTCTGGATCAGCCCTTCGCCAAAATGATTAAACGCGACTGTAACTTGCATGCCCTTATCCCGAACGAACCCGTCGCTATGCCCTAAGAGCATCACCTCATCATGATGCGTCATGTAGTTATTCGAAACTGTGGTCGCCGTCGACCCATAAGTCACATCGATTAACCCGTCGGCGCAGTTGGACAACGAGTAGTGGTCGATCCAGACGTGCGTCGACCCGAACACAGAGATACCGTCCCCATCCAAAACCTCCCCCAATGCATGTGGGACGTCGGAAGAAGAACCTCTAGCGCCGTCGAGGAGACTCCTCCTCCCTCTCCTGCAATTAGAGGTGACAAATGGATTGAATCCATGGTTTGGTGGATTGGATTGGTAGATCCATGGATGAAAATGGATTGGTAGATTCATGGATTGGTGGATCGATCCATGAATCCAAATGACATCCGATCCAAGCCTTGGACCAATATGTGTATGTTTTGAAAAGTTTAGGTACTAAAATGTCTTAACAAGAAATTTAATGTACAAAACGTGAATTTCCAATGATATTTTTCATATAAAATATTAAATTTTAGGTATCAAGTTGTAAAATATAATAAATATAGATACCAAACTATAATTTGCCAACGATCCATGAATCCAACAATTCAATTGGATTTGGATAAAATGAATTAAATTTAAATGGATTAGATTAGTTGGATATTTAAGTTGATGAATTGGATTGGTGGACTGGATTATAAATTGTCACCTTTACCTGCAATCGTGGATATGAAGCCCATGGATGATGACATGGCTCACGAATTGAATCGTGATGCATGGGCCTCCAGATATGTGCACGGAGCTTCCCCTACCGTCGATCGTCTTGAACGAGCTCACCATCAGCTCGGCTTTCAGTGTGATCACCATGTCCCTGGCGAACGCGATCCAGAGTGGTCGTTTTTGGATCGTTGCATAACGTAGGGTTCCTGGTTTCGGGTTAGCCGGGTTGTCGGTCGAGTCGGTCACAACATAGAACCCGCCGTATTTCCCGCCGGTGGCTTGTTTGCCGAACCCGATCGCGCAGTTAGCGAGGTGTTTGCGCTTCTTGTACCACAATGGGTCGCATCTCCAACATTCGTCGATTGGGTTGCCTGTTTTGCAGGAGCGGAATCCCGAATCCCTCATCGCGTCTGTCGCATTCCTTATGCTCCTGAGAAATAAATTTAAAATGAATTAGATTACTACTAGTACGTTCCGTATAAAACACATATGAGTATTTTACTTCATTTCTAAACTAATGGTACGCCTAATGGTGTATTAAAGTAATGAAATATGTCAAATTAATTATTTTAGAAACAAATAAATAAAATATTTGAACTATCAATTTTAATTGAATATTTATATTAAATACATTATCTAAATTTAATATGTGTTTAGTACGAGAATCATCAAATGGATAATTTTTTTTAAATTATACAGAAACGAAAATTTTAAATGCATATAACACATATATTCATATATACACACTAAACGGAATATTTACTAACCTAGAACTAGTTCTTAGTAGAGAGACCAAAGGAACCCGAAACCTAACCTTAAACTACTAACTTCTTGTTGTACCATTAAGCTAGAAATTATTCACTAGCAATGGAGCTAACTTTTACCTAAGGTCTTCAAGAAAACTTATACCTAAGGAACAATCGTAAGCGGACATAATTAACACTATTAAGACAACAAATTATACACTTTCTTTTTTTTGTTAAAAAAACTTTTGATTCACAACGGGAGAAGTTGTGAATCAAACATAATCTAAAAGGGTGTTGCGTAAGTGGTACACACATGTAAAACATTTGATTGTTGCAAAATGACGAACATATTACTATATGCAAAATGATGAAAAGAGATACCATTTAAAGTACTGCATATTATCAATGAAATGTTTTCTATACTTCTCGAGACTTAATTCAAGTGTTGCGAACTCGATTTTCATTTGCAATGTGATAAATTAGAGCGGGTGGAAGGGTGAAGTTTTACCTGTTTACCTCTTCTGCAACTGCATCAGGATCTGAAACAGGGTAAGTGGAAATGTGGGTTGGGAATTGGAGGAGAGCTAAGAGGAGAAGAAAGGAGAGTTGGATTGCCATTTGGTTTTTACTTTTTAGAGAGAGAGAGAGAGGTTTTGGAGAGAATGCGTTAACTGTTAAGGAAGAAAGAGATTTGTGAAGTGGTGTTTATAGGAGAGAAATGGAGAATAACAATATGGAATTAGCGATCATAGAGAAGCAGATTATGACCCAATAATTTCTGCTTAATTTTAGTGATATTAATTTAGTCTATAATTCCAAAGAAAATAACAGCTGAAGAGCTTTCATTTCTCTATTAGTAATTTATGCTTAATTACAACCGATGCAATGCAAAAACTTAATGTAAGAATGAAATTAAGAGATGAGATTCGGTGACAATTTCTAAGGAGTTGTCATTTTCCTCGTTACCAGAATGAGTGGTATCCTACCAGAGGTGGGTTGTGAAAATGACAACCTTCTTAGAGTTTGTCACAGAATCTCATACCGTCAATATGCCTTGTAGGTAGGTATTAAGGTAATGAAGTGATTAATGTACACCACCAACGACATAATCCTGAGCAAGCTTGACTAAACTAACTTGCTAGTCCAACTAATTAAGTGCCTTCTCTGTTGTAATCCAACAAACCACAAGAGCCCTAAACATCATGTTCAAAAAGAACCTTAACTAGCGACAAGTACCTAGGACTAACTTTGGTGGGTGGAGATTGGAGACTTCTTCCTTACTTTATTTACTCCTACAAGAGCCCTAAATCATGTTCAAATCACTTACATCCTAGAATTTTCAGTGTTATAATTTCGCTGAATTGACCTCTCCCAATTCCTAAGGTATTATACCTGATTTCTGGGTTGTTGTAATCTATATCTATCTATCTATCTATCTATCTATACTAAATATTATGGTTATTCAAAATTAACTTCTTGCCACATAAGCACTTGGTGAATGCACAAGTTGCCAAGGTAGTCAATTTTTTTTCAAACAAAAAACTATTTATTGATCTAGAAAGGGAGTGGCATAGTTATTGCAGTGGCACTTTGCAATTTCAACTTCACAACACCTTGAAGCTTTCCCGTCACCAACTCTACCATTGGGCTGCAAAAGGGACATCCAATTCAGCAAGAGCTATCCAGCTATCCGGGAGCTTCAGGATGCCATCTCTACCCTTCGTGAGAGCCACCCAGTTGATTGGGATGCCATTCGTCAACTTGAACAACAATTATCTGAAGCTTTCCTTGAAGAAGAAATATATTGGCTACAGAAGTCCCGCAACAGTTGGCTAACAGAAGGGGATTCCAACTCGAGGTTCTTTCATATTACGACTCTCCAACGAAGACGTAAGAATAGGATCCTTTCCCTACGTGATGACAATGGAGTCTCATACACTAAGGAATCTGCCAAAGGTATGCTTGCTGTCCAGTATTTCATCAATCAGTTTACGGCAGAATGCTCGAATGTTCAATCCTTTTTAGACTGCTTAGGACTGCCAATTTTGATTACTGATGCTATGAATGCTTCCTTAACTGCTAATGTTACAAGAGAGGACGTCTCTACTGCTGTGTTCAATATTGGTAGCTTTCAAGCCCCAGGTTCAGATGGATTTACCGGAACTTTCTTCCAATCTTTTTGGAGTTTAGTGGGTAACTCTGTTGTTGCTGCTGTTCAAGAATTCTTTACCACAGGGCATCTCCTTCCAAATTTTAACCACACCTGGATCACTCTGTTACCTAAAGTTCCAAATGCAGAAACAATGCGACAAATGTGACCTATTGGTTTATGTCAAGTTCCATAAAAGGTGATTTCCAAAATTCTCACAACTCGCCTTGCTGACATTCTTCCTCATGTGGTAAGCCCTTTCCAAAATGGTTTCATTAAAGGTAGATTGATCTCATATAACATTCTTATCGGGCAGGAAGTCTTACATTTTCTGAAAACTAAAAAGGCTGGCCAGGAAAAATGGATGGCCCTAAAATTAGACATGGAAAAAGCTTACGATAGGGTTGAATGGGAATTCTTATTCTCAATGTTGCAGCGTTTGGGCTTCTGTGATCAATGGCTTAAGTGGATCCACCAATGTGTCACTATTGTGTCCTTTTCAGTCTTAATCAATGGCTCTCCCCATGGCTTTTTTCACCCTCAACGGGGTATTCGTCAAGGGGATCCACTATCACCATTGTTATTTGCTCTTTATACAGAGGCCTTCTCCCACTTCATCGATCAAGCGGTTCAAGCGCAATATTTACATGGATTGAAAGTACATTGGCGCTGCCCGGTGATATCCCATCTTTTCTTCGCCGATGATACTTACCTATTCATACGGGCTTCTAATGCTGAATGTCATAACATACTCTCTATGTTTGCTGCCTATGAACAGGTTAGTGGCCAAAAAGTCAATTTGCACAAATCCACAGTCACTTTTAGCAGCAATGTTTCTCCTTTAGATGCGGCATCAATGATCGCATTGCTAGGGGTATCAGAGAGCACCACTCATGATCTTTACCTCGGCCTTCCTACCCATATTCAGCGATCTAAACAAGTAACCTTCCAATTCATTGAAGATAAGTTGGTCTCTCGATTGCAACAATGGAAATCCAAATCACTTTCCCTTGCTGGCAAAGAAACCATTTTGAAATCAATTGCCAATGCTTTACCGAATTACGCAATGCTTAGCTTCAGAATGACCCTCACCTTTTGTCGCAGATTAAATGGGCATCTTGCTAGATTCTGGTGGGCTCAACAGGATCGGGATGAAGGCATGAAGTGGGCGTCTTGGCGATCCCTCTGCCGCCATAAAAACCACGGAGGACTAGGCTTTAGAGATTTCGACAGTAATAATAAGGCTCTCCTTGCTAAACAAGCATGGAGAATTCTACAAGCTCCGGATTGTCCTCTAGCAGTGATGTATAAAGCTAAATACTTCTCCCAGATTTCGTTTTTGCAGGCTACACCTGGATCTCGACCTTCTTGGGCGTGGCAAGGAGTTCTAGTAGGGCGTGACCTCCTTCTCCAAGGAATTCGTTGGCTGATTGGTTCTGGTACTCAAGTTCAATTCTTGACGATATATGGCTCCCTACAACACCTCCTTCTAGCCCCAAGCTTTTACCCCATGCTGCCTTGCAATCATCTCAAGTCTCAACTCTCATAGACCTGGAAAGTGGATCTTCTACAGAACCTGTTTGATGCGGCTAGCATTAAGGTAATTCTCAGTATCCCCCTTCCCCAACTCCCCATGGCTGACAAGCTGGTCTGGCATTATGAGGCTTCGGGAGAATATTCTGTTAAGTCCGGGTACCACATTGCAGCTTCTGAGTTTGTTCAGAACCTCTCTACAATTACAGTTATATTTGATTCTCCAGCTTGGAACGCCCTTTGGGCGCTTTCGGTTCCCCCTAAACTAAGATTTTTTATCTGGCATTTGATCAAGGGTTTCCTCCCTGTTAGAGATGTGCTGCGGGATAAAGAAATATTAGAGGAAGGTGATGTTGATGCGCTCTTGTGTCCAGTTTGTCCTAACCCTTCAGAATCATTATCCCATTGTTTTTTGGATTGTAGAGTAGCCACAGCTTTATGGGAATTAACAGGTTATGGCCACTTACTTCTAATTCTAAACTCACTCCACGTTGCTATTGGTTGGAGGTATTTGCTTTTGGATGCAGGACTTAGTCGCAATGATCTTACGAGAATAGTGTTTCTGTACTAGAGGATTTGGAAAGGGCGGTGCTCTTCCTCTTATGATTCTATTCAGTTCCTTCCCACTACTCTACTGAGACAATTTAATAGCCAAGTTGTTGAATGGATCTCAGTTCAGGAATCGGGTTCCGTGTGGCGCCGCTTTAACCAACCAATCTTGCCTCCGAACCGCAGTTCAGTGCCACCATCCATTCCTACAGGGTTCATGCTAGTCCATTTTGACGGTGCCACAAAGGACTCATTAGGTGGTGCAATTGGATTTGTAGGCTTCTCCGACCAATGAGCTATTTCCTTTGCCTATGGCCGTTTCTATGCAGAAACTTCTGACCCTTTCATCATGGAGTTAATGGCGCTTCGTGACGCCATGCGTTGGTGTCTCTCACATTCCATAACTAATGTATTATTTTGTGGTGATGCGCAGGTCGTGATCCGGATGGTCTCGGCAAATGACTCGCCTCACGCTTTGGGGGGTGCCATTCTGAAAGAGGTTCAGGTGCTGCGAACATCTCTCGCGCGTGCGTCGTTTCATTTTGCTCCTCGTAGGTATAACAGGGCTGCCCACACCGTGGCAAGAACGGCCCTTTCATCGATGGTTCGGCTGCTGGTTGACCATCGTTTTGCCCTTTTTTCGTTGTCCTGACCTTCTGGGTCTTGTATATACTCGTATCTTGCTATTCCTGCCGGAATATCTTTGGCAAAAAAAAAAAAAAAGGTGAATGCACAAGCCTCTCTCTTCTTTTAATAATTCTACTCATTTTTACTAAAATTAAAATAAGTTAATTTTTTAGGAAACATTTAAACAAAAACACACACCTAAGTAATAAAAAATTTTCGATTAAACAAACTATAAAGATGGAAACAGAGAGTGACATATATTATATTTGTTTAACCCAAGCTGATTAAATCTGATTAAGTAAATTTTCTACTTATTTTTACTAAAACTTAATAATAAGTTACATTTTGATGAAGAAAAAAAAACAAGCACACACATAAATATTAATATTTTTCAATACAAGATATAAATGATGATCTATGAGAAAATAAACGTTAAAAAATCAATCGACTTTGATAAATGAACGATATGACTATATGTTTTTTGCTATCAAACACTCACCTCTTTCTTATGTATATACCTATCAAATAAAACAAGTATAAATTATATAGCAAAATGTCTAAATATAAACTTGACAGAGCAATAATTGTTATTTTTTTAAAAACTTCTTACTCATTTCGATTAAATGAAAACATATTAATTATTAATGCAAACTTTTAATTTTTTTCTATCCCTTTCCCCATTTTGATTGTCTCTCTAGAAATAAAATCCAACATTGAAAATAAGAAATCAAGAAAGTATGTCAACCACCATAAAAATAAA